GAATTATTTCTGATTAAAACATCTGGGTGGTTGTCTGGAAAAACTTTTTCTCTACACAATGGCATCACTTGTGGATGGATTGAAACTTGTATATCAAAAATATAAAAAAGAAAAACAAGAAGGGAAAGATGGTCTTGGCACTATTTTTTAATTTTTAGAAATGGCGGTTTATACTTATGTGAAGCAGAATGAACAACAGGATGAAGGGGACAAAGAAGAAGCCATCTTTGATGAATAAATGACTTTGGTTGGAGAAGGGAAAAAGAAAGAGAAAAAGGAAAAGAGGACTCTAAGATCTGGAAAAACAACCCAAAAAGAGAAGAATAAGGTGAAAAAGGGACATTATGTTAGGAAACAACAGAAAGGGGGAAAACAGAATAAAAGGGAGGTGGAGAGACAAGGGGTTAAAGAGGACAAGGAGAAGAAGAAGCAAGGGAGAAAGGAAGGGATGAGAAGCCCTAATGGTGGGGAGCAAGATGTTAAGAAGCAAAAGTTTTTTTAGAGATAATGGATAAACTTTATTGATAAAGGGATTCTAGAAAGGTACATAAGACTGTATTTTTATATTTGTATTTAGAAATAACCATAGAAAATTGGAAATAATATGTAATTTAAAATATGATAAAATATTTAACATAAACTAGTGAAATTTTTGTTAAGAAAAAATGAGTACTGCAATGAAATATGATTTAAGATTGTGATCTGCGGGGGGGAGGGGGTAATAATTTTTGGAAAGCATTACTGTTCCCACAAAGGCATGATATTTAATTGAAATGGATAAAATGTTTAAGATATAAATGATTGTTAATATTAATGATCAGACTATGGTATATTAGCGAAATTTTTTGTGAAATGAGAGATTTGAAGTAGAAGAAGGAGGAACATCGTAATGAAATAATGAGCTATAATATGTGATGTGGGGGGGGGGAAATAACTATGGATAAAAGTATGTGATTTAATTGAAAAGTAATGTGTTAAATGTTCAAGATATAAATGAATATCAATACTAATGAATAGATTTGTATCATTTTCGATAACATAGTATAATTTTAGAATGTACCAGACAGAATCCCAATGTAAGTTATGTGTTTTATATTAAGTATTATAAATATAGGGGAGAGAGATAAAGGCATCATACCCCATATAGTGTACAGGAGAAGTTTTTCTTCTTTTTTAAAGAAGAAAAATAAATGGATGGCTGGAAATAGAACAGACAAAGAATAATAAATATTATGATCTGAATTGAGAGGAGATAAATAAAATAAAATTGAGAAAATTTAAAAGAGAGGAGAAGTTATATAGAAAATTGAAAATGTTAATAAGATATGAAATGGTATATAAAAGGAATATGAATTTGAATTTGTGTCTGTACCGAGTTATAACCCAGGACTAAGCAACTTTCAGAAAATAGATTTTTTATGCTTTTATGTTTTGTGTTTTTGTGTATTTATGTATTGTATGTCTTGAAGAATTAATAAAACTTGTATAAAAAAAAAAAGAAACTGTTCAAAGTTACGACAGCATTCAATGAGTGATACTTTCAATTAGTCCTCAAAGTTCAAGCCATCTCAGCAACCCCAGTCACATGACCAGGATTTGTGGCAACTGGCTTGCACTTATGATAGTGGACGTATCCCATTGTCATGTGATCAATATTTGCTACCTTCCCTGCTGGTTTCCCAAAAACAAAATCCATGAGGAAGCAAGTAGGGAAGATTGTTAGTCACTCCTGCCACAGATCTGAAGGATAGCAGTATTGTCTGTGGTGTTGAATAGCTTTACATCATCAGCAAAGAGAACGCAGTTGCTCTTAATATGATCACAGAGGCCATTTATGTAGAGTATGAAAAGAGTTGGTCCCAGAACACTGCATTGGGGAACAGGTTGACAGGTACTGTTGACAGGTACAGAATTTGATAGGACGTTCCCAATTTTGACCATTTGTTGTCTGTTTGCCAGGAATGCTTCTATCCAGTTATGCAGGTGTCCAGAGATACCGTAAGATTTTAGTTTTAGTTTGTCGTGTACCACTGAATCAAAGGCTTTACAGAAATCTATGTAGACTGTGTCTATTGCTTTGCCCTGATCGAGTTGTGTAGTCCATATGTTTTTGCAGTGTAAGAGTTGAAGATTACATGATCGTTTTTTCCTGAAACCAAATTGTTTATTAGAGAGTAGGTTGTTTGTTTCTAAGTGGAGGATGATGGATTGGTTAATAATTGATTCCACAACTTTACAGGTGATGCAGCATAAAGAGATTGGTCTGTAATTTTCAACTAGGCTGGGGTCTCCCTTTTTGAAGATGGGGATAACTGTGGCTTGTGACCATAGTTTTGGCAAGGAGCTGGTCCTGAAAGATTTTTCAAAGATTATGCTTAGAGGTTTGGCTATGGCAGTGGATAGCTTTTTTAAGAAGTAGGCACATATTCCGTCCGGTCCAATAGATAGAGATGGTTTTAGATTGCGTAGTGCTTTTTCAACATTGTCTTCTGTAAAATCGATATGTATTAGATCATTGTAGTTGTCTGTGGTTTCACTAGGAAATACTGGGCATGATCCATTGCTGTTTACAAATACTGAGCCAAAGAATGTGTTAAAGAGGTTGCCTTTAATAGTGTCGTCGTTGCAGTCTTTACCATTAGGTCCTTTCAGAGGTGGGATGGACCTTGAGTCTTTTATTTTGTTGTTTACAAAATTGTAGAAAGCGCGGATGGAATTGGTGCGTAGAAGGTTTTCCTCTTGTTTAAGGTGCTAATTGTTGCATTCAGTTTTTATCAGGTGGCATAAATTTTTGTATCAGCTTTTGAAGTTGGCAATGTGACCAGATTTGTTTTTCCGCCAAAGTGATCTCTTTTTGGATTGAAGCTTCCTTATTGTTATGGGTAATTTGTTTTTTCTGGTTTGGGGAGTTGTTAATGGTACATATAGTTTGATGACTCTTTTGACTTCAAGTAAAAATATGTTGTAATGGTCTTCTACAGTATTGCATCCAGTGAATAGAAATTGCCAATCACGGAATGAGAGGTCGTTGTTTATAAGATCATAGTTGCCTTTTTTGAAGTTATAATTCAGTCGTTGTGATTATTTTTGTGTAGACGTATGTTGAGACAAAAGTCAATCATGTTGTGGTCACTGTTGGAAAAGGGTTCTTTAATTTGTATTCCATAAATTGAATTCAAACTATTGCAGAAGATGAGATCAAGTCTAGTGTTGTTGGTTACTAGTTGTTCTAGTCCCAGATTTGTTACTGCATTGTAGAAGGTTGCATGTGTAGGTTCAGTTGTACATTCGTTAAGGGTCCAGTTAATATGAAGTAGATTGAAGTCACCAAGAAAGATAAAAGCGTGTGGGCAGGATGCTGCCCATGTTAGTATTTAGCTTGTTTGCATGTTCGATGTCATAATCAGGGGCTCTGTAACATAGTAAGAACCGAAATGTGATATTTAAGGACAGTTCACAGACAATTGTCTCAGGAATAGCAAGCTCCTGGGTAACTTGGATGTTTTTTTAGATGTAAGGACTTTTTATAGAAGATAGCAACACCACCTCCTCTATGGATTTCACGATCTGATCGGTAAACATGATAGTCTCTTACTGTGGTAATGGAGTCAGGGAGAGATGCATTGAGCCATGTTTCACAGGCAAATATGATGTCGAATTTAGCCATATTTAGTAAGAGGAGAAATTCAGGTATTTTATTTACAAGACTTCTTGCATTGAGTAGCTTGCATTTAAGGCCAGTTGTGGTTGGAATATAGATAGTTAGGGGCATGCGTGCCTAGTTTTGAGTGATGTTGGATTGGATGGGGTGGGGTTGGATGCGGAGTTGTGGGTTGTGTGACTTTCTTTTGATGCAATCAGCTCGGTAGTCAATGTATAGATCCTTTTCTCCATTGTCTAGACAGTTTTTGAGTTATGTGCAGAGTTCACGGGAACAGATTCTTTGCAGTATGGATACGTCTGGTTTTGAGCGAAGTTTTTTGTGGTTGGGATTGGTTTTTGCAATGCCGTTTATTGTATGAATGAATATGCCTTTGCTGGACTCATTTTTGTATACAATTCTACAAAATCTTGGGGCCACAGAGCCATCATTGTATTTACACTCAGGGCCATCTCTGGTTATTTCAATGATATCTTCAGGAGAAATGTTTGTTATATTGGAGTTGCTTACGATATCGCAAACTTTGGTGATGTCGTCTGATTCATTGGTGTCTTCAAGACCAAATAAGATAGCATTTGGACATTTCTGTTCACGTTCCACGGTGTCTCTGATGAGTCAGGAGATATTATTTGTGGAATTATTTGAAGGGATAGTAATTGTTTGTGGCTGTGGTTTGGTGGTTATTTTTGGTTGTAGTTGTGATTGTAGTTGAGGTAGTGGTTGTGGTTATCATCTCATCAAGCTCATCAATACTCATCAAGCTGCACTTGTATCAGGCTATAGCAGCCACTTGTACACTCTTCTGCTCTCCAGAGCATCCTTCCCCTGCCCGGTACAGTACATTTGCTCTACCCTACACTGCAACCACTTACCTGCCACCTGAGACTTGTGACTTCTTATCAGCTTCCCCATTGGCTTTGCTGGTTGGAAGCCAGCAGGAAGTTGCTTGATCAGTGATGGCAATAGAGATTACTGAAATTGTTGTTCCTAAGTAATATGGCCAAATGTTGTGTTTTATAGCTGCAAAGCAAATTAGTCTCAAGTACCATCATGTAGCCAGGACAACCTCTCATAATTATTACTAAAGATCTTAATTACATTATAAGTTATAGTCAGAAACATAAGGGAAGGAAGGAGGGAGAAAAATATTTATCTTTATATACTGTATATTCACCACACATCTATGGATAAGTCAAACCCAATTTTGGAGGTGCATTTATTTATAATTTATTTATAAATTACAGTTGAGCTATACTATTAAAAACTTGCTTTTATTGTCAGCCTAACAATTACTTGTGTTAATATTAGATAATCATTAAATGTAAGTGGACATTCCTACCTGTGGGCATTTGAAAATTATGCTTGCAGTGTGATTTGTTCTTCCTAATGCAGATGGACAAAACAGAACTGATATTTCAGTAGTGGAATGAGGAGCAACAGTCAACTGCAAAAACATGGATAGGGAAGAGAGCGATGAAAAGCAAACAAGTAAACAAACAAACAAACAAAAAACACCAATGTTCCTTTTTTTCTTTCCTTTCTTTTCAATCCAATTCTTTTCTTGTTCCTTGTATCAACACTGTTGATATTTACATGATTAATGTGTTCCATTGTATGACTTCCCTACTCTCAGCATGTAGGATCTGCTAAAATTGATAAATACACTGCAGTAAACAGTGCTAAGTGAAATCACAGCATGCTTATTCCCTAGAAACTAGATAATGTGTTGCTAACCACAAAAATGGAACTGGGGTTGCTTTTAACATATGGGGGAAAAGAGAGCTTCGGTTCTTCAAGTCATATACTGCTACCAAATTTCTTTTTTCCTTTTTTTTGCACATCACAGAGATACTTTTAAGTCTTGCATATGATATAATCTTATAAAGTCAAAATGCAATTTTAACTAGCATTATCCAAGTTATTTTTAACTGAAGTGTCTCTATGCTCTTCCAACACATACGAGTAAAGAAACTATCTTGCTGGGACTTATTTAGTCTAAATTAAAAGTGATTGATTCATTACTACATGCAATGGCCACATAATCATTATAAGATGTGATAAAACTCAAGGCATTTAAGGAAGGTCAGACAGAAATAAAATAATTTTCAATCCAGTTCCAAGCTTGATGTTAGTTTATTGTTGCCTGATTTAATCCATCCCTCTAAACTGTGGGCAATAAATTTTCTCAAGGAGCCACATAAGCAACTGGGGCTGCCACTGCCACCTCCCCTATGCCACTCTGCCCTTGTCCCATCCCTTGCCGCTGCTGCCACCACCAGACAGGGACAGCCAAAAAGGCTGGATGCGGTCCACAAGTTGTAAAACGCCCAGGTCTGGGCTAAATACTTGCACTTTATTAATATTACTGTCAAACAAACACATAAAAATTGCAGACAACAGTTCTCTTCTGCAATAAAACTAATAATTTCATGTTCTAGAAACAATCTGGGAAGTAGTTCTACTAAGGAAAAAGATCTTACTATCTATCACAGTAAGTAAGTTGTCCTCGTCTCTTCTTGTTCGTTTATTGGATACTGCAATTTTAGTAACAAGATTGACCTTTCCAAAGAAAAAGTGATTCATTTTCCTTTGTCAACTGTCCAACTAGTGAACCCTCAAAAAGTAGGCACTCAGGAACTTTAAAATTCCTGAAACTTTATTGGATACATTATTTCAGCACTGAAGAAATAAAATCAGCTCTGAGATTTTCCCGCGCAATGCTGCATAGTTAAACATTAGTTCCCCCTTCTTCTCAATCATAGTGATCATGCTGTAAAATTAAGAATCAGTCCTTTGTTTTGAGAACAGTTCATTTCTTTGTGAACTGTTTAGAAAATATAACGTGCAGAAGTTGACTGGTGGGTTCTTGGCTCACACAGTCTATTCTTGGATTGTCTGCATTCCTTCTCACCTTTCCCTCCCCCCAGTTCATTGGCAAATTGAATAGCGATGTGTTCAAATTGTTCAGAAGTGGTTCAAACTTGACATGCCAGCCCCCTGGGGAAAATAAGTCCCTGCACTCTATTGGGATGGATGGTTTCCCTCGATCCAGCTCTGCTAGGGCATTTATCAGCTTTGTCCTCCCTACTAGCTTTAGCCACTGGCTTTAAGCACCACTGGTCACTTCTCCAATCCACCATGAGGTTCCACTTTTTCAACCACAACAACCCCAATATCATCACCTCTGCCATTTTTGGGGCCACTATGAACCAGATTGCTTTTTCATGGCTCCTTGCTCTCATGCTCACTGGCTCTGTTAGGCACATGGCAGGCAAACCCCGCCCCCACTCTGATGATTGAGCCATCTGCTTCCTTGAACTTCATAGGCTGTCAATTTCCTTACTCTCTCAGAATATTCATGAACTGGCAGAGACATGGTAACAAGGTCAGCCAATGAATAGGCATGGCAACTGAGTCAGCCAAAGAGGGCTCTTTTGGAAACAGAAACTTAAGGAAAGAGTCTGGGCGTGGCTTAGCTCTGTGCTCAGCTATAAAACTCAGCTCTGGTCTTGTCTATCTGCTGAACTGAAACTTACTTACAATCTCTCCTCTCTACCACATTGGAAGAATCTGCTGTTGGTATTGTTAATTTACTTCATGTATTATTATGTATATAAAGAAGTTAATGAATCCTATTGAATCAGTTATCTGTGTGTGCTTTCTGGATTTAATTTTCTGTAACAAATTATAACACTCTCGGCCCCAACTTTTGTATGGTTTGCAAGCTGACCAGACAGTGGATGCAGCCTAAGTCTGTCAGTAAAGATCCCCTGGGCTCCAGAATGGGACACTACAATCTCCACTCGGGCAGTGAAAGGGGCAATGGCTTCACTTATCATCGGGTCATCTTCCCCCTTGCTATTGCTTTCATAGATTAGGTTGGGCTTGTCAGTGGCTGGAGTTCTCTTCCCTTTGCTGGATTGGGGAGAGACATCCATGAATGGATGCACCACCTGTGTCTTTTCCTTTGTCTTCTTTAGTGCCTTTTCAGATTTTGGCTGGCTCAGGGCCATCATCGGCTGTGGTGCTGGACAAGCCCAATGACCCTCCTGACTATATCAGAAGCAGGCACCCAATGAATGCCACAGGCTCTCCTTTGGGGTTGAGGAAGAAGGGAATGATGAGGTTCTCCATCCCAGTGAGCACCTCTCTTGGCTCTTTCGGGGTCGATTCCCTAGACTTGCATGCTGTTTGTACTTCATCAGGTCCAACTGGTACCATTTGTCAAATCTGTGTATCTGCTATTCTTCAATAGAAGAAGAGAGGGGGAAGTTGGTACAAGTAATCTTTTTTGATGTAACCTGAATATATTAAATCCAATATTGATTCTGTATAACTTGCACATGATATACATCCAGAGAAGTGGAGTCAGATGTCCAGAAACTTGTTACCTCTGGAAGAGATAACAGGATGAGAAGGGACTATAAAAATTCCAGCCCTGGAAGAAACTCCTGGGAACTCTGCAAGATACGTTCCTAGAGAAGGGGAGGGGGGAATTAACTTGTTGGTTCTTTGTTTGACTAAATCCACATCTGAATGAGGGGAGGGGTTTTAACTTCCTTTATCTATGACTGTATGCCTGGGGGTATCTTAGATTCTGCTTTGCCTAGTGTTGAGATAAAACCCCTTTCAATAAAGGATTCCTTTTGAAACACCTAGTTTTCAGAAGTTCATTCTTTTCAGTTGAAGGGAAAAAATCCAATGCTCACATAATGCTTGGAGTTCGTCAGGAACCCCTCGAGGCAGAGAATTCTGGTACAACTCCTGATTCAGCACATCTCGGAAATGGTAGATCAGCAAGCACTCTGGCCACCCTCTCAGTTTCCCCACCAAGCCTAGGAATTCATTGATGTACTTGGTCTGGTTCTTTGCAATCATGCTTTGGCTCGGCGTGCACATGAGGGGTCTCCAAATTGATTCCGGTGTCAGCTTTGGAAGTCATATTAGCACCAGAAGCTTCCATGCTGCCACATTCCTGAACCTGGGAAATTGGGAAGGGGAATTTTATAGAGTGTTCGTAGTTACACATAGTAGCATTCTTCTTTACAGTCAAGGTCATGTTATTCCTGCACCTGGATGAGGAATGGTTAAAGGGATGTCTCAAGTTGGAAAGGATGATGATTGGGCCATGTGATGGAGTGATAGGTGCATGGGATGGATTTTGTGATTTTTAATTATTGGAGGAAAATCTGGAACTCTCAGATTTGGGTTTTCCCAGATGTGCCAGTATGACAACTCTGATAAAATGGAACTTTGAGAAAATGCCTGAGTTTTGGAGTTGGAGTTTGTTTTCCTAGAACGCTAACATCTAGAGCTCTTCCATGAAGGCATCCACATCCCCAACTCCAGCACCTCTTCATTGTGGAGGAGCACCACCCAATCTGCTGCCTCGCCCTCCATGCTCTCAATGACATCACCACATCATTTAAGTAGACAGCCTTGTACCGGTCCATGTGGTTCTACACCTGGTTCAGGAAGTAGGCTAGCTTTTCCGGTTTCCCTTCTCAGGCAGTGAGACTCTTGATTGTCCTGGACCAGGATGTACCCAATGGTAACCCCACCGCCTATGAGATTGCATGTGCCTCAACTCCTGCTGTACCCTGGGGCACTTGGTCTTGTCCCAGGGCCAACTGGGGAGGTATGGGAGCTCCCTGCAGCTTGAGTCACAGTCCTCAGCATTGTGGGTTGGGTTCAGGAAAGCAAAGGCCGCACAGTGGTTCAGGGTTGACCAGCACCAGCTCCTGGTCCCAAGAAGGTTGAATGCACCGATGTTGCACCCCATACTTTCATGCCCATGAACTGTTCTCAGTTGTTCCACTGAAGGACTCCAGCACGAAGTCAGGAAGTTCCAGTCCACCAGCTCTTCCCAGTCCACTGCCCTCCTGGCATTGCCCTTCTGGCTTTCCATTTTGATCCATGGGTTATAGTTACTCCTGGTAGGAATAGGGGGAAATCCTCCTCAGCAGCCTTTCCCACTTTTCCTCTCTGCTTTCTTGGTTCACTCTTTGGATCAGATCATGACCACTTGCGCCTCGCAGTCTGCTAGAGTTCCCACTGGCGCCTCCATGGATAGGGCCACCCTGGTTTTTGCTGCCATCTCCACTTTTCCTTCTGCACCAGGCATCTTCCTCCATCTCCTCTCGCAGCACTCTCGGAGATAGCCAAGTAGGCTGCAATATGGGTTAAAAAGAGAGCTGGTTTACTGTCCTCTGTTCGACTAGTGAACCCAAGAAAAGTAGACACTCTCAGGAACTTTAAAATTCCAAAAGTAAAACTTTATTGGGTGCATCATTTCAGCACTGAAGAAATAAAACCAGCTCTGAGGTTTTCCTATGCAATGCTACATAGTTAAACATTAGTTTCCCCTTCTTCCCACCCATAGTGATCACACTGTCCAATTAAGAATCAATCTTTTGTTTTCAGAACAGTTCATTTCTTTGTCAGACACCTGCAGAAGTGACCTTGATGGGTTCTTGGCTTGCACAGTCTATTCTTGGGTTGTCTGTATTCCTTCTCACCCTTTCCTTCCTCCCCCCCACCCCAGTTCATTGGCAAGTGAATAGAGATAAATATTCAAATGGGTCAGAAACTTGACATCTCTCTTTTTGCTGATTCCACTTCCTCTTCAGTTTAGTAGGATTAAATAATAAAATATTAAATAGAATATCCATTCTCAAGTGTTTGTGCCGCTATGTAAAAATCCCACTGGAAGGGAGGTTATATATCAACCTATTCATTTTAAGGAAACAAGTTCTGAGAAACTAGTATAAAATAATACTGGCTTATTGGAGCTGTTTACAAAAGTTAATACAAGCTTCAAAGGAATGATTTGATTCAAAGAAGACTCAGACTATTTTGTAGTACTAAAACTTAAACAAATTAGGTAACTTCAGCAGCTTTGGAAAAATTTAGAGATTCAACAAATTTGCTGACTTTGCTAAGACTCACTGCAAAAACTAGCAAGAAACATGCTGTTCTCTTATACCGAGACGTGCAACTGGTTGAAGAGTTTTATCAACTCTGTAAAACACTTTAATGTATTCTTTTAAAATCTTTCTGTCATTTTCCTAGCTTTCTTCAATATATCATACTAGCTCTATACCTGTGCTTCGCTACGAAACTATGTGATTGGACTTAGTTTTTCGGGAGGAAAATAAGAGGGAAAAATTATGCCTCTGCCTACCAGCATCCACTGGTATTCATCTGGCTAGCATCCTGTCAGTGTGAGAGAGAGTTGAGAGCTGTTTGGAAACTGAAACATGGAAACTGAAACAGTATTTGCTGTGTGAGCAAGAAGGAAACAGCAAGGAGCTTGGGTGTGGCTTAGCTCAACTGTTCTGTACTAAAGCTGCTTGCTGCTGTGAAACTAAAACTGAAACAGAAACTCCTGTCCTCTGCTTGTGTTTTGCATTTGGAACAGATTTCTTTACAGGTGGGGAAGGGGAGTAGAACTTATTTAGCATCAGAGCATCTTAATAATAATATATGAAATACTAATGTTCTGATGGTCATTTTGAAAAATCTTTTCTCAGTGAGCACCTAGAAGCCAAGAGGAACCTACATGCTAAATTTCAAGTTTGTAGGCTTTACAGTTCTGGAGATTTTGTGATGATGTGTGAGTGGTATTTCACTTTTATATATATAGATTTTGTTTTTAACCTTGTACATGAGTTCATTGCCCTTGAATGCCATAACCTGCTAACCACAATTTACTATGATAAAAAGAGTGTTACACCACTCTGTATCTTGCTAGCTTTTGCTAGATTAAAAATAACTAAACAAGTCAGACCCACTTAATACTTAGATGGGGTAAGAAATCCAGGCTGCTAATTAGAGCAGGGGTCACCAATCTTTTGGATCTCAGGGACCACCAAACCAATAATTTTAAATCCTGCAGACCAGAGACCCTGGGAAAATCCCCCAAAAAGTCTGCAGGAAAATTCCCCATCCCATTTTCCTACCGATTGATCATTCTTTATTTGGGATCGCAGGATACAATCTCCAGCTCCGTTCTCATGGGGAGAGGGAGAGAGAGAGAGAGAGAGACTTTTGGCTTCATGCAAGGAAAGCAGCAGAGGCAGCAGAGGCAGCAGAGATCTTTCTTTCTCTCCCCAAAACTCCACCAGAAATGAGTCTTTGTGAGACTTGTCATGCTGGCGCAGCCTCTTGGAGCAGGATGCCTTGCAGGGTCACAAAGACTCATTTCTGGCAGAGTTTGGGGGAGAGAAAGAAAGACTTTTGTTGCTTTCCTTGCGTGCAGCCAAAAGCAGAAGAAGAAAGAAGCAGAAAGAAGCAGCCTGGTGGCCAAGTAAGGCATATGGGTTGAGTGGGGCAAGTTTCCCCCCTCTGCTCACTACCTCGTGTTTTTCGCAATGCAAGCAATGCAAGCTTTGTGTTCCCACGGGCCATGTGGGTGGCACAGCCTTGTGTTCCTGCTCAGCCTTGATTAATTGCTTTGGGGGATGCTTTGGAGGTGACATTTCTCCACGGACCACCAAAATTTTCTCATGGTCCCCGGTCCACTGGTTGGTGACCACTGAACTAGAGTACAAGGTTGAAAAACATCCTCAGAGAAGACAATAGCAAACTATTCCATACAGTTGTGAAGACAACAGAATGAACCTGTTTATGAAGTCACCAAGTCACTCAATTCATATATTCTTATTCTCAATTCATATATAAGGGAATGCTAAATATTAAAACTTCCATAATTTAGGAGGTTTTTTTTCAAAATAATTGTAGGGACTTCAATTGCATTGTTCAATTGCATTGTACAATGCACTGCATTGTAGGGACTTCAATTGCATTGTTTTTCTTTGCTCCATTAAGATATTTGTGTTTACTTCTAACTCTTACATCATTCTTGGGCTTTGTCTTAACTTCATTCAAATTTTGGCCTGAAATTCCACTTGTTTTCTACAAAATACAGAGTTCATACAGACATTTTTTTCTTCTGAGCAATAAAACAGAATATGTGAGCAATATTTAAATTGTTAAGGGAAAGTGTTTCATATGAAACATTTTCATAAATAGCAATGTTTATCAGTTAAACCTACTTTGGTTTTGGGGTCAATCTCCATTGAAAAATGGCCTGGATTGCTGTTCAAATATTCCAATTCTAGAATTTCATATGTAGAATTAACCAGAGGAATATGCTGGCTGACCCATCTGTAACAAAACACCACAAAAAATCCAGTTATTTAATTCTGATAAAGTACTTGACTAATTCTGATGTTGCTGCTGGTTACTTTATTTAAATAGCACTTTGTTTTCTTTGAAAAGTTATTCAAGCAACTATCTTCAGCACTATTCATTTTGTTTTTACCAATGCTAATACTGATTCTTCTATTTCTGTGGCAAAGATTTCACATATTTTGTCATCATGAATTGACAGAAATTCTGATCAAAGAAGCATTCTTCAAGGTAGAGTCATTACCATATTTAAAAACCAGAAATAGATTCTAATAGAATTAACACAGCAAGCATGATGTATTAAAATAATCTAATGCATTTTAATAACAACTTTTGGAAATGAAAGTTAACAGCTTTAGAATCAAATTAGTTATATTTTAAGATATTATATAGATCATGCTAGCTAGGTACCAATTACAAAAGTTTTTGAAAAAAATATTTTGCATCCGGGAAGAGATAATATGCATACCTACACTCCATAAAAATCTGTCTTCAGAAAAACCAGACAAAAATTAATAATTACCAAAACATAAGTGATAATAACTGCATTTCCTTTCAATATAAATAATTGTCAAGGGCAACTTCTCCAAATAGCATTTATTATAGCAAAACTGCTATATGTCTTCATTATCTTGTAAATCTGAGCACAAAATATAAGATGGCTGTGTTTATGTTTTCTAGTCAAATGAATGCCAGGTTTTCTCCAATTGTGTTAACTATCAATTCCATTTTGGAATGACTAGTCTAACAAAGAGAAGGACTGGGGGTGATACGATAGCAGTCTCCCAATATTTGGGGGTTTTCACAGAGAAGAGGTAGTCAACCTATTCTCCAAAGCACCTGAGGGCAGGATAAGAAGTAATGAATAGAAGCTTATTAAAGAGAGATCCAACCTAGATTTAAGGAGAAATTTCCTGCCAGTGAGAACAAATTAATAAATGGAACAGCTTGCCTCCAGTCAGTATGCCATTATTGACATTTTCAAGAAGACATTGGACAATGATTTGTTCAGTATGGTATAGGGTCTCCTACTTGAACAGATCATTGGACTAGAAGACTTCCAAGATCCCTTTCAACTGTGTTATTCTGTCTGTAGGTCTCAGGAAAATATTTATAGCAGGAAATGAACTATTATGCTGAAACTTCATTTTTGTCTGCAGTAAAAAATTCTAATGTAGCTGAGGATTATCTGTAGTCTCCAGCCAAGTCTGCCAAGATTTGAACTAATGGTTAGTTGTTTCAATATCAAAGAACAATAACTAAACCCATAATTCAGGTTAAATATAGGATTGCTTACTTTCCAAGTTCACATTCTATTTCAGGCAATCTTATTGGATGAGGCATCTGTCCAATCAGCTTCAATGCATACCAAAACTCTCCTAATTTCTCTGATGTAAATATAACACTAAAATAAGAGTTATAAATCTGTTGGTAAAATTATCTTGTTAGATAAAAGACAACAACACAGTGGAAGGGAAGATAATAAAGGGGATCAGCAAAGTGATCCTGTTTTATCTTAATTAATTTCTTACATCTAATCACAGATTAGGTGCCCATCATGATCAACATTATAAATATCATAATCATTATCATCATGATCACCTCTTCCTCCTCCTCCATCATTAACTAGCACAAAGTAAATCATATGTATATAGCCATGCAGTTTATCTATAGGATAGACTAGTAGAATTAAAATAAATAAAAAATACAGACAAGAAATTTTAGCTAAAAATAATATTAGGAGTAAAAAACCATAAAGAATGTCATATATAAATCTAAAAAGTTCAGACCACAGAAAATAATCTAATCCACAAAGAACATACAGAAATAAGATTGCATTACATTTCTTCTTAAAATATTGTAGAATTAAATGCATGGATATGCCAAAATAAATATGTGTATATCCTATCTTTCAATTCTAAAACTATTTTTATTTTAAAAAGCACCAAAAATACTCCAAAATTGCAATAAATTCTGCTCCTTTCATTATTTCCTATTATTTATCTAAAATTACAATGCCAAAATTTATAACGTGTAATGATCTTCAGTGGTAAAAATAATGCAGATTATTTTCTTCCTAATTTCATCAAAAATAGGCTAATTAATTAATAATCAATTAATTATTACATGAAGACAATCTGAAATAGATTAACATATTCTGTATCTTTCTAAGCTTATATCAGAAATGTATGCTCACAGAGATCAGTCTAGCAGAAAAGAAGCTAAAGAAAAGATCAGTGGTGAAGGCAGAAGAAAACAACCACTGCCTTTTCCACTGTGCTTCTTTCATTAGCTTTATTGAGGCTGGTTCCTCTGAAAGCCAGATGGTACTTTTAAGTTCACATAAAACATGAAACAAAAGTCATTCATCACCAGGAATGTATTTCAAGGGGGGAAAACCCATCAGTTTGAAGGTTGTGTCCCAAACAGAAATATTCATAATACAACATTAAAAAGGCAACATTAAAAACAAAAAATACAGGTACTTTTCAACTTATAACAGTTCAAGTACAGGTTCTTTTTTTTGGGGGGGGGGTAAATTTTATTTGAGTTTTCACAAAGAGAAAAAAAAATACAAATAAAACATCTTTTTTGAAAGTAGCGTAATCCCGGGTTACATTTCTTCGTACAGACACAAATTCAGGTTCATGCTCATTTTTATATTCTATTCCATATCTTATTACTATTTTATATTTTCTGCATAGCTTCTCCCCTCTTTTAATTTTCTCAATTTTATTTTAATTATCTCAATTCAAATCATTGTATTTATATTTTTGTCTGTCCTGTTTCAATTATCTATTATCTTTTCTCATTAAATAAAATTTCTCCTATAATTACTGATTGGAGTATGACGCCTTTATATCTTTTCCCTAAAGTTGTAACATTCAATATAATACATAACTTCCATTCGGATTCTGCTTGGTACATTCTTAAAATACACACTGTATTCTTAAAAAAAGAAAAAATTATAAATGTATATAATTAAAACAACATTCCATTCCATTCCAATTCAATTCTATCATTAATATTAATATTCATTAAAGTCTTAACATCTTTAACATTACTTTTAAATTAAATATCATACTTCTATGGGAACAATTATAAGCTTTCCATAGTTAATTCCCCCCTCTTCACTTATATTTTATAAAACATTAACTAATTAAAATGTTCCCGTTCCTTCCTAATTCAATTTTCTCATTTATTTTATTTCACTTATTTTATTCACAAACATTTCACTAAATTACACTAACTATTTTATCCCTCATTTTAATCATACATTGTTTCCAATTTTCTAAAGTTATTTCTATTACTAATATAACAATACAATCTTATGTACCTTTACAGAATCCTTTTCAGTTAGATTTTCACCCATTATCTCTAAATAGGTCCTGTTTCTCTATATCTTGCTCCAGTCCTTTATAACTTCTTTTCCTTTCCTTCTTCCCTCTCTTCTTCTCTCTCCCCTTTTTACCCCCTTGTCTCTCTACCTCTATTTCTCTCTTCTGTATTCCCCTTTTCTGTTGCTTTCCAGTATTATACTTATTTTTTGAATTATTTTTCTTTTCTTTGGTTGTTTTTTTAAATCTTAAATTCTCCATTCTCTCTCCCCCCTTTCCTTTTTCTTCCCCACATAATTGCTTGTTCATTAAAGATGGCTTCTTCTTTGTCCCAGTCTTCTTGTTTTGCAGTCTTTTCTTGTTGTTTCTCATAGTTCCAAATCTCCATTTCTAAGAATTGAAAAACAAAGCCAAAGAACCCTTCCCTTCTTGTGCATCTTCTTTGTACTTTTTAAATTCCATTTTCAATTCATCCAGTAGTGGTGCCATTGTATAATTTTTTAAACAACCACCCGATTGATTTTAGTCATTCAAATATAATAACCAAGAATCCAAAGATCACCAAATAATCCAAATACACGTAAGCTGTTTCTTTTTTGCTCTTTTTTTTACTTTCTCTTCCTGGGGTTACTATTTAGTTACAAAGTTTCAGTTAAAATGTATCTTTTAGAAGTTTTGTTGAAGTTTTACTGTAGATTCTTTTTAATTCCAGGCAGTCTCCTCCTTCTTCCAGATCCTGCCCTTATTCTTTTTCTCTCCCTTCCTACTTATGAAAAAGAAAAATTTTAATGTCCAGAAATCTTTATTATCCCTTTGGCATTTTGTTTTATTTTCAGCTTAATTGCCTATTGATGTCAAAGCGGATTTTTCCGATTTCTTATTTAAGTCTCTTAGTTGTCAGTATAGGGAAGGAGAGAGAAGGGGAAAAAAGCCAAACCTTTCCCTTTTCACTTTCCTTCGCTGCTTCCGACTCTTCTTTGGGAGCGATGTTATTTTTGTAAGTTTAAATTCCAGGGTACCTTGGTTGTTGCTTTTACCATTTAACCTGGTCAGCCAAAACTTTCACTTCTTATCTTCCTCCTGCACATTCTTTTCCGGTCAAGTTCTTCTTTGTGGTGGCCATTTCTGACCACTGCTGCAACCGCCTTCGGGAAAGGGAGTAATGGCCAGCTGAGGAGGAGAGATGCGGCTCTCCTCGACCCTGCTGGTGGTCTTCCCCCTCTTCACCTCTACGGGGTGGCTTAGCCACGAAACCAGCCTGCTCGCGGCGCTCCAGTGGCGAGCCCAGACAGAAACCGCGCATGATTGCAGATTTCTGTCTGTTGCCGAAGCCCTTCAAACCAGAAGTCCCAGTTGAAATGACCATTCAAGGTGACAACAGTACTGAAAAAAGGACTTATGACCTTTTTTCACATTTATGATCATTGCAGCACATGATTTACATTTGGATGCTTCATAACTAGTTCATATTCATGACAGTTGCAGCATCCAAGGATCATGTTTTCATCTTTTGTGACCTTCTGACAAGTAAAGTAAATGGGGAAGCCAGATTCAATTAACAACTGTGTTACTAATTTAACAACTGCAATGATTTACTTTACAAATGTGGCAAGAAAAGTTGTAAAATGAGGCAAGACTCACTTAACAAATTTCTCACCAAGCAACTTAAACTCTGAGCTCAATTGAGGTCATACGTTGAGGTCTACCTGTACTAAAGCAATCTAAAAGTCTTTCATTCGTAAGACGAATGCACTGAGTAATAAGCCACTTTTATTAATATAAAAGTTCACAATAAAGCACAAAATAAAAGTAAATTGAAAACATTTAATGACTAGAAATGTATAAGATATATCATCTACATGTCAGCATTCCAGGAAAACAAACTCCAACAGCAAAACTCCGAGACAGGCATTTTCTCAAAGTTCCATTTTATTAGAGCTGCCATGGTGGTACATCTGGGAAAATCTGAATCTGAAACTTCTGGGTTTTCCTCCAATAATTAAAAATTACAAATCCATCCCCTGCACCCATCATTCCATCACATGCCCCAATCACTATCGGTTCCAACATGAGACATTCCAACCATTGCTCATCCAACTGCAGAAATAACATGATCTTGACTTTAGAGAAAAATGCTATTATGTCTAACTACATACACTCCATAAAATCCCCTCTCCCAAATTCCCAGGCTTAAAAATGTGGCAGTGTGGAAGCTTCTGGTGCTAATATGGCTTCCAAAGCTGACACTACAATAGCAGAACATACCTTCCATCCATATGGCCAGTGGTAGCTGGAGAATACTTTACTTCATAACATAACATTTCTTTTGGTTCAAGAACAAACTTGTTTTCACCACTGAGTGTAATAGCATCTATTAATTCTACATCTAATTCCAGAACATCATCTGTAGGATTAGTTATTGGAATTCCAATGTCAATAGTATCCTAAGAGAGACAGAAGAAGAGATATCTTCAAACATTAGTAAAATGGCAGATAAATAATGTTTATTTGAAACAGTATTGAAATTCTCTACATAGTATGGAGCTTCTTAGTTTATTTACTGATTGTATCTCATTAATGATGAAAATACATTCATTGACTCAAAAAGAGAAAGAACATAATAATGCAAGCAACAAATGGTAAAGAGAAAATGTCTCTGGGGTTTTAAAATCTCTGTATTTCACATGGCTTCAAACAAACAAAATGTTTCAGATATGAGAGATAATCACTTGTGTATGATAAACCTCAAGCAATGTACAAATGCCACTTCCTGGGAACATGGCTAATTGAACACATGCCTGGGGAGAGATCTCCAAATGATATTTCCATGGGGTGTATCTTCTGCCTTCTAACTGATGGGATGTGTTTATGACCCACCCAGTCAAGGTGTGTCGAAGAACTTCCCCTCAGAACCCTTCAATACTGCTGTAAGCTTGCAAACAGCTTCTGGAGTTGAATTCTGAAGCTATCTGCATGCCAAAAGCTGGGAGTGCAGGGGCTGCAATCTGTTTGGGGTTGAAGAAGCCACCGTTTTGAAATTCACCTTTCAAACTGACAGTAAATTATGCCTTTCTCTTCTTAATCACCTTCAACAATTGTGAATATTTTTAAGTCAACTTAAAAGAGGCTCTTTCTAGCTACAGCCTGCTATAACTTTTTGAAGATTTGCACCACTTTAAGGATCTCTTTTTGTCTCAAAGAACATGAAAGAAGGCTGCTAAGGCAAGCCAAATAAGGAAATGTGCTGAGAAAAAAAAGCTGACAGAGAAAGATAAAGATTGAAAGCTGTGATTTTAGTTTACTATTGTAGTAACTGGTAGCTTGATTTTCTTAGCTATGGGTGGCTAAAATCTTTTGATTCTGATTAAAAGAGGAAGCCAAGATATGGAGCAAAGTATTAGAGATATATTTGAAAGGTTTCTTAAATAAAATATGCTAATTTGTTGACCATCTGTATTCTGATGATAAAAAAATCCTCTCAAATTACTTCTGAGGTGTAAACACTTGGAGAATGTTACCAAACTACCAAGGCAACTTCACAAGAAGCTGAAACTGCAGAGGAGTTCATCACAGTTTTGGAAGAACCTGATATTAACTTTCACTACTATGGTTCAAATGTAAACCTTTCAACACAACTGAAAGAAGAGTGTCAGGAAAAAAGACAAATTTGGGACTTTTTCTTTAAGAACATTAACAAGGTTGAGGATCTAATTGTTGGCATTTGTAGCAATCCAGCCAGCACACAAACAAATAATTCAGCAGGATTCATTATATAAAAGAAACTTCTTTATATACAATAATATAAAACATGATGCATGTGTACAATACCCATGCAGCTCTTGCAACATGGTAGAAAGAAGAAGTAGCAAGTACAAGAACAAACACTAGAACTCAAGCAAAGACAAATGAACTCTTTTTATACACAGAATAGTTAAGCTAAGCCACGCCCAGGCTAAAAGCCGTCCCGCATGGCTCACACAAATCCTGTATCTCATACAAAGAGATATTGATGAAATCTTCAGAATTCACACAAATTATGCAAGAAGACATAGATTACCAAAAGAGGTGCATGTGAGGTTCACCAGGAAGACACTGAGAAATTAAATATACAAAAGAACGAGAGACAAACCCATGAAGTACAAAGGGAGAGAAATCTTGACCCTAAAACAGATACCTAGGAGAGTGTCAGCCTTCAAGATCTTCTACTATTGCTTTGCATCTTTTGGCTGCCATAAGAAACGGGGGGAGGAGGGGGTAAAGTCTGGGAAGCGAGCTGGAGGTGTTACTGTTAAGTTTGCCATGCGGAAGGAAACTCGGGAGTCAGTGACCAGTTTCAGCTCTTTATTTGGTCCCGAGATCGACTCGGTGCGGCTAGGGTAAACAGCGGCTTTTATAGAACTAGCCGGCCAAGCCGCGGCCAATGACACCGCTTTGAATCTCCCGCGATCAGTTTCCTCCAATCGCGGGAGATTCTCCGCGGCCAATCAGTGCGGCTCGTTCGGCCAATCGGCTTGCTGCACGTCTTAGCCAATCAGAACAGGTGTTTACAAGAATGTTAATGAATAGTACAGAACACCCCTCCCCTCTTGGTAGGGTCCTACGTGACGTAGTCTCGTAAGTAGGCGGGGCTCCGTACTTGTCGACTGGACCTGCGCAGGTTAGTTGGTGTCTCGTCTCCGAGCGGTTCGGTCGGGTCCTGTGTCGCTCCTCGCCTCATTGATGGAACCGCCTAGAAGGTTGAGCCAGGCCTTTCGCCGCAGCTCCCTCCCGGTTTGCTCGGGTTGGTTGAGCTGTTGGCTTTGTTGCTCCCGCCTAGTCTTTCTGGGCTGGTTGAGCTGGCTTGGCTGCTTCTCCCAGGTGAGGTCTCGAGCTGTTCGTCTGTTCCTGTCACGGTTGGTGAGTATTCTTGGTTCCCTTCTTGTTGGGGTTGGCTGTTTTGGTTTCCAGGGTTTTCCCTCCCCTCTTGGCTGATGTCGGGGTTTCCCCTTCCCCCTGTGGTTTCTTTTTGCATGTCGGTTGTGTTTCCCGTGTTGATTCTTGATCTTAATTGATCGATGTGTCTTTTCCATGCTCGACCGTCGGTTGTCTGTAGTCGGTACGAGCGGGGACCTGTCACCTGGGTTATGGTTGCTGGTACCCAGAGTGGGTCCCCTGTGAATGTTCGGTGTTTGCTGGATGAGTCGGGGTTTTTTTCTGGGTTGTATGTGGGGTGCAGTCTGTCGAGTGGGGACCTTAGTTTCCTCCCCATTAGTAGTTCTGCCGGGCTTTTGTTGGTTGTCATGTTTGGGGTTATATGTTGTATGAATAGCATTTTATTAATTTTCTCCTGTATTTCCCCGGTTTCTATTTTTTGGATTGTTTTTTTCGTAAATTGAACCATTCGTTCCGCCCTCCCGTTCGCCGCCGGATGTGCCGGCGCTGTTAGCGCATGCCGTATTCCCCGTTCCACTAGGAATTTTTTGAATTCCAGCGAGGTAAATTGGGGCCCGTTATCTGATACGATGACATCTGGGAGGCCGTGGGTGGAGAATAGTTTGTTGAGTTCTTTGGTGACGGCCTCCGTGGTGGAAGTTTTCGTGTTGCTTACCTCCAGCCAGTTGGAGTAAGCATCTACCGTGATGAGGAAGGTGTGCCCCTTCGTAGGTCCGGCGAAATCTATATGGATCCTGGACCATGGTCCCCTGGGGGTTTCCCATTCCAGGATTGGGGCGGAGGGGGGGGCTTGGCCTGGATTCTTGGCATTGTCTGCATACTGCCACCCAAGCCTCGATTTGCCTGTCCCTCCCTGGCCACCAGGCGTAACTCCTGGCCAGGGCTTTAGTCCTCACGATGCCCAGGTGTCCCTCATGCAATAATTCCAAAACCCTTTCTTGTAGTTTTTCTGGGATGACAACCCTATCCCCCCATAGTAAACAACCTTTCTGTAAGGACAGTTCTGTTTGTCGGTTCCGAAACATCCTGAATTGTTCGTCATCGTCTTTTTCCGGCCACCCTTTCTCTACCCAATGCAAAATCCGCGCCAGACGTTTGTCTTTATTGGTTTCGCGGGCAATGTCTGACGCGGTTACAGGCAGATTGGGTAGAGTCTCTATGCTGAGGGTGGATGTTGTAGGTGCTGGCTCGGCGTCCAGGTCGGGTAGCGGCGTGCAGCTCAGGGCGTCTGCGTGGCCAATTTTCTTACCAGGTCAGTGGGTTAACCGGTAGCTGTAGGCGGCAAGGAATTCGGACCACCTTGTCATTCTTGGAGATAGAATGTTCGGGGTGGCCCTGTTTCCTGCCAGGATTCCCAGCAGCGGCTTGTGGTTGGTGATGATGGTGAAGGTCCTGCCATAGAGGTACTCGTGGAACCTCTTGACGGTGGTGATGATTGCCAGAGCCTCTTTGTCCAGCTGACTGTAATTTCTTTCTGGTTTTGAGAGGGTTCTTGAAAAGAAGGCAATGGGTGCTTCTTTTCTGTCGGGGAGGATGTGGCTGAGGACTGCTCCGACGCCGAAGGGTGATGCGTCGCATGTGACGGCTAATGGTAGGGTCTCGTTGTATTGGATGAGGACGGCATCCGATGTGAGCAGGTCCTTGGTTCTGTTGAAAGCAGCTTCCTCATGTCCCCACCAGGTCCAGGTTGCTGTTTTATCCAGCAGCCTATGCAACGGTTCCACCGCGGTCGCCTTTTGGGGTAAGAACACATTATAGAAATTAATCAGTCCAAGAAACACCTGCAATTCCGTTTTATTCTTTGGCCTGGGGGCTTCTTTGATGGCTCTGATTTTTTTTTTTCGGTTGGATGAATCCCGTGCCGGTCTAGGAGATATCCCAGGAACTCGACCCTCTCGGTGTACAGCTGACATTTTTCTTTTTTGACTTTTAGCCCTGCGTTTTTGAATTTTTGTAGTACCTCCCTCAGGTGACCCTCTAGTTCTTTTCGGTTGGCTGCTGACACCAGCACGTCATCGAAGTAGGGTACCACCCCCTTGATTCCTTGCAGGAGTCTTTCCATGAGGCTCTGGAAAATTCCTGGCGCTACACTGACTCCGAACTGGAGCCTCTTGCAGTGGAAAGCCCCCCGGTGGGTTACTATGGTTTGCACCTCGGCGGTTTCCGCGGCGACCGGCAATTGTTGGTAGGCTTGTGCCAGGTCGAGTTTCGCGAAAACCTTGCCTCCCCCCAGTGAGTGTAGGAGGTGCTGCACTACTGGGACGGGGTAGGCGCTTTGTTGTAAGGCGCAGTTTAGGGTGGCCTTATAGTCCCCACAGATTCTCACCGACCCATCGGGCTTGACTGGGGTGACTATGGGGGTCTCCCACCGGGTGTGGTCGGTTGGCTCTAGGACCCCTTGTTTGATGAGCTTGTCTATCTGCTCATCGATCTTTGGGCAGAGTGCGAAAGGTACCCGCCGTGGCTTTAGGCGTGTCGGGGGAACGCTGGGGTCTAGGCTTAATGAAATAGG